CTCTGGGTGTGCTGCAGTTACTCTCAGGGTCTGGAAATCTGTTAGGCATAACAGCACTGAACCACACAGCCAAGCTGCTCCACTGCCCAGTCAAAATGTTTGCCTACTTCTGGATGAATGTTGTATCAAAAAAGCATCAGTCTCTTGCTTTGTTTTCATAAATTTTGTTGTTTTCCTTGTTCTAATTTACAGAAATCTGGGACAGCATATTTATGTTTGTAACTCTAAAAGGTATCACAAGACACACTTATTTTTACTGGCCTTTTTAATGTGTTAGAGCAGCATCTGTAACAATGAGATTAAARCACTGGACAATAGCTAAAGTCACAATAACAAATAGTCCAGGCAGGTGGACTGTCATCCAGGGAGGATAAGGCAGTAATGACAACAAAGCAGCAGAAAATACAGAGGCAACAGCATTACTTTCTTATGCAATGAGCCTGTTTGATCAGCTAAACTTCACGGTTTTGGTGCTGCCTGTACAGAAATGCTCATGGCAGACCTATGAACTGCAAAAGGTGTCTCACTTCCCTCTGCAATAAATGTGCTACAGTAACTATGTTATAAAAATAATATTAAAATTCAAGCATACGGCTTTTTTTCTCAGTTTAGCATTGTTCATCAAATTGCAACAACTTGAACATCAGTATCTAAGACAAAAAAAACATTTCTGCTGTGATGCTGGTGAAACAGGAGTTCATTAAAGTGAYTGCAGCAGTTTTATGTCTTATATTAGCATGTCATGACTGAATAATGTATGTGTAAATTGCTGCAAATTAAATCGTGGCACTTAGGGAAAAGATCGGACAGTAATACAAGGAACAGAAAATTCCCCTATGTGTGTATCAGCCATCTGGTGCAGTGCAAATAGCACTCATTCAGGGGAGGTCTGGTGAGCAATCACAGCAACAGGTCTGCTGAGTGCTCCAAAAAGTTATGCAATGTCTCAGCAACCTTTTCTTTTCTCCTATACATATAATTCAATGAGGGCTGTGAACAGTTGTATGTCCTTCCAGGGCTACAGATTGTTTTGCTGCACCATTTTCCAGTACTTCGTTTTTTAGGAGACTTAAAACTTGGAGAGTTTTGTTTTGGTTTTTTGCAGTATGCCTTCTAGGAATTCTGACTCCAGAAAAYCATGATTTTCTCCATGATTAAGCCATTTTCCTTATTTGTTGAAGGGGTAGATAGCTGCAACAGATCAGCAGGGAAGGGACCACTGATAACACAAATATTTCTAACTAAAATTAAAAAAGTGCTTTTGGCTCCTGTACTTCCAAATGGACTGGAAAAATGTGTTTTCGTAAATGTCCAGAACTGGGTATGTCTGTCATAAAAGATCCCATGTTTACATAAATGACCTTATCCACAAAGTACAACTGGAGAGTAATAGTTAATAGATGGGCAAAATTACAAAGCTGACACTATTGCATGTTTTCATGCTGGTTGTGTGTTATTCCTTATGTACATATTTTAACAGAGAAATGTAAATAATMAAKTACCCAGGAGATTTTAAACTTCCTYATATTTGCTGTGRATGWCAGCCAAGAAAAACTGGATGGTACAGAGAGCTATTCCCCTGCTATTCTTTTCTGCTGTTCCCYGCCAGCCCAAGGTGTTTTCTCCAAGCTTGCCTGTAGCTTTACCAGGAGTGTGAAGGAGTGGTGTGACAGCATGAGCCTGGCTGCTGCCACTTCAGCCTGTCGTGAGGCTTTGACAGCTGCCTGCTCAGGAAAMAAGGTGTGAAGGTCCAAAGCCAGCAGAGGTCTGGCAGAGCAGAGCTGGTGTCCTAGAGCCACCCCCATGCTGCCCCACCAGTGCATGAGTTCAGGCTGTGGCTGTTTTGGAAGGTGCCATGGTGAGCTGGGCATGGCTTAGGTTGGCAGGAGCAGAATCTGTACCAAATGCATGGGAGAGTTGGCCATTTCTGCTCCACGAGGCAATTTGTGCTCATTTGCCAGCTGCAGGATGAGCACCACATTGCTTCAGACTGTTTTGCAGAGGTGGAACACTGAATTATCAGAGTGCTCTGCACAGCACAATGTCCACGTGAACATGTAGAGCCCAGGTTTTAACCCAGCTGCTATTTGTGACAGCAGCAGTGAAGACATGATGGCACATAAGGGCTGAAATATTGGATGCACATGTAAATTCTCACCTTCTGTAAAAATGAGAGAACATCATCAGTCTTGCCTCTCTTAAGTACTGTGGCCAATGTTGCTAAGAGTGAAATCCAGCAAGCTGTGATTCTCTTTAAACTACAATTAGTCCATTAGCTATAGACCTACAGAGTCCCTACTCAGAGACGGACACAGGTTCACCAATGCGACACAGGTTGCATCCTATTTGTAGAAAGAAAACGTATTCTCTAAAGACATATTCCAGCAGATTAGAGACATCAGAGCTAAACTCTGCTATTTACTCCCAGAGAGAAAGCAGGCCAAGCACACAAAAGCAATARGTATTACCTAGTTCTACTCAGGGAAAGAGTCAGAAGAGGAAACATAGACGCTTTARAAAAATTTCAATGGCAATAACATGAAAGAGGACAGGATTGATTTAATGCTTCCAGTCTGACTCCCAGATGAGGAATCAATTATCCTGCRTCATTTAATCTCCTTATGCAGGTCATGACACAAAGCAGAAATTAGAAGCATCATGTCTAAAATGAAGAGCAGATCTTAATGGTGGTTAGCATCAGCCTCAGATTTTTTTAGAGGAAAATATAGCTTGGATTTGGGGAGCTCTGAAGAGTTGGCACCTCTGGATTTCTGCAGTCAGACCCTTAAATTTTAAAAATGGGTTTGTCTTTACCTAATGGAGATGCAGAGCAGTTATAAGAAAAGACCAAAAAAAAAGAAAAAAAAATTTTAAAATACTGTCCCTTTGGACAAACTTCAGCCTACAAGGAACATGACCTTCAGAAAATTTGCAAATTACTTACCTGCCATGTTTCAAACTATCCTCTATCTTCATGACAACTTTCTCTGATAAACCAAGCTCCTACTTTTTTTACATCATTCAACAGAAATACCCTGTCGTCTCTGAGCAGGTGCAACCCCTAGCTAAATCATCCTTCTTTTGGAACAAAAACTTCCCAAGAGGAAGAAATGTGATGCAGCAGGAGCCTCCATCTGAATCCCCTGCAGGCTGGAAGAGAGGATAACCAAAGTTCTTGTCCCTATACAGCCTCCTACTGAGCTTGTCAATTATATTTCTTGTGTGAAACCGTTGACATAATCAAGCACAGGCATGAAAACAGAAGCAGTATAGCTAAAAAAGATCCTTTTTTTTTGTCAGAGAGTTGTTTTTCCTATGAACCAGGAGAAAACTAGGACACAGAATGTAAGCATTATGATTAACTTTCAAGAGAAGCTAAAATTATCCAGGATTATACAAATATAAGCAGTTTTGGTTTATTTCCAGTCACCAAAAACAATTCAGCATTGAAGACAAATTAAAGGGTTTGGGGTARTGGGTTTTGGGCTGTGCTTTTTGGGGATTTTTGTAAAAACTCTATGATAAGGCCAATGTATTTTCAAGAAGTAAGCTCAACATACCTATTCTGAAGACTCTCTGATAGACCTTGGAAATGTGAATTTGAATTTTGCCTTAAACTCTCTATAGGAACTCTCCAAAGCACTGGTTTCTAATCAAAGTCAAATCAGGAATTGTATTTGCAGTCCCTACATCAGTGGCTGCCAGTTCTCTTTCTTCCAAGTCAGCAGATGCCAAAGGATCTAGGAAATAAAATCCTTTGCATTTCTCACATCATTCTGCRTAATTGCACTCTCTCTGACATTTTCCCTAGCTTTGTGTCTTTTCCCACAATGCCCCAAAGCAATGAGCTTTCCCRATCCTGCTGGTACTCACCTGCATCTGAAACTAGGGTTTCTGGATCAAGGGATAGACCAYCTTGTATCTAAGAGAATAAAAGATGGGATATGGGGAATATGTACGACAAAGGTAATTTAAGGGCTGACCTGTACAACCTATTTTTTCCACCWAAGTACTCAGGAAACCAACTACGTATCATTTTCATTCAAGATATCACAAAGAAGAAATTATGGCAGCAATTTGTTCAATATGTACGTAACACCACAATTTTATGACTCTATAACATTTAGCACTCACCAAAATACCTCTATATTTGGGATGTTCCTGGCAGCACAAAGATGCCCTACAGAGGGATCTGGACAAGCTGGATCAATGGGTTGAGTCCAACTGTATGGGGTTCAGCAAGGCCAAGTGCCCTGATGTGACATTGGTCACATCAATCCCATGCAGCACTACAGTGCTGGCCAACAGCAGCCAAACATGAGCCAGGAGTGAGCCCAGGTGGCCAAAAAGAAGGCCAAAAATACATCCTGGCCTGTACTATCAATAGTGTGGCCAGCAGGACCAGGGCAGTGATKGTTCCCCTGCACTTGGCACTGGTGAGGCTGCAGCTCAAATCCTGTGTCCAGTTCTTGGCCTCTCACYAGAAGACAGTGAAATGTTGGAGTGCATCCAGAAAAAGGGAATGAAGCTGTTCAAGGGTCTGGAGCACAAGTCTATGAGGAGTGGCTGASGGATCTAGTAGCAGTTAGCCAGGAGAAAAGGAGGGGGRAAACCTTATCATTCTCAGCTACCTGACAAGAGGTTGTAGCCAGGCGAGGGTAGGCCTTGTCTCCCAAGTAACAAGGCATAGGACAAAAGAAAACATCCTCAAATTGTACCAGGGGAGGTTTAGATTGGATGTTAGGAGAAGTTTCTTCATGGAAAGGYTTGTCAAGCAYTGGGAGAGGTCACYCAGGAATGTGGCAGAGTAAGCACTGAAATACCTGTGGGTATTCAAGACAGGCAGATGTGGCACTCAGGAACATGATTGAGTGGTGGACTTGGCACTGCTGGGTTAACAGTTGGATTGGATAATCTTAAGGGTCTTTTCCAACATAAATGATTCTGTAATTCTATGACATAAGGTACTGAAAAGATTTAAGACCAAATAAAGTGATTCCTTCATTTTCACCACTGTTTGCCTTGTCAGTTTATTTGAAAAAAGAAAGCTTTAAAAAACATTTCAGACTAAAGCACCATTCCTAAAGCTTTGCCAAAAGCTTTCTTGTGTCAGTGCCTTGCATATCAAGAATTTTCAAAAAAGTTCTCTGAAGGCTGCTTCTGTCTACAGATCTACCTACAGAAGGCAGTAACTCCCACTRTAATTGTTAGATAGTGGCTGTGAGTGACAGGCTGCAGTTCTAAAAAACATCACTATCTATTTTCCTAAAAAACTACAAAACAACAAGAAAAATTTGAAGGCTCTAAGATGCAGGAGGAAAAGTGYCTGGTTTTCAACCCTCTCCACTTTCTCAAGTGCTCTGTTTTACAGATATGCACTGAGGGTTTGTTTCTTCAGGGGAAATACACCTTGCACTGCACACACAAGCCAGTCAAAATGTTCCTGAGTGACACTGAAGTTCCAATATTTCTCCCCACTTTGGGGGACAGAGCTGCTTGCCTCTGGTGTCCTGCAGGTTGTTGGCTGGCTCCTGCTGGCACTGCAGCAGTTTGCCCTGTGGATTAACAAGCAGATGCAACTGAGGTTAAAACAGGCAGTGCTATTTCTACCTAAGAAAGCCCTTCATCTYCACAGGAGGACTTTAACAATAGCAAATGACAATAAACCTGAAGTGACTTCTCAAATCTGCTGCTGCTGATTCTGCACTTTTGAAAAAACATTTTCAGTTCAATTTCAGAATTTAATACAGCTCTCAAGAAAATTACTAAGAACAAAGCCCATACTCTTATTTGGTATAAATCTATACACAACACCAAATAAAGCATCTATCTTGGTCTTGCAGCTTAATACTCTGCTGGCATTAACAAGTAACTGTATGTTCACTAAAATTACTTTTATGAAATGCTTTAAAAATCCAAGCAGAAGATAATGTCTATGTACACTTACAGCAGTCACTAACCATAAACTCCTATTTAATACAGAAGAAACAATGACTGGCCYTTACCTGGAATCACATATTGGCATCCCATTATTTGATCTTAACTTTAAATGTATTAGGTCAGTAACAGGGGCAAATTTTATTCCATGCTTTTATGCTTTCATTCCCCAGCCAAATGTTTTCAGAGCAGGTTAAACACTGCCAACAATGATCTAAAACACTCACAGACACAAAGAAAGTCTCAGTTCTGCTCTTCCCAGCTGCATACACACACACACACACAGACACACACAGACACAGACACAGAATTTCCCCTTTGGTTGGTTGGGTACCTGCCAGTTCCCACATCTAGGCAAGACTGGCTTAAAGATCACTTCATATCCTATTAGTCCCACCTTGGCCAAGGCCATACTAATTGTCTAGGCTCCCCACACAGTTATCAGAGAAAGACATGACACTCTATTTGATAAGGCAGTTATCCCAATACAAGATACCAAGACATGTGTGATGAGCTGCCCCCAGGTGCCCAGTGCTTGGTGACTGTAGGAGAAAACAAGACAGCCAGCACAGAACATGCAAATAACCTTGGGCAAGCTGAAATCAGGCAAGCTTGATTTTCCTAAGTGATGAGAAAAAAAATCAACATGCAAAACCATGCCCAGTAAGAAGAGCTAAATAGATAATGAYTATTCATTATTTCTTCACAATAAAAGAATCAGGGCAGGCAATGGGCCTAAAACACAAGGGAAAAACCAAAAACAGTTTTCCTACACCATTTTACTGTAAAACTCACTGCCATAGAAGCAAAAGTATTATTGGGTTCAAGAAAAGCAGATGGCATCACTGAGGAAGATGACCTAAAGGTTACTGAAAACAAAACACATTTAGAACATCACGCACTAAATGTCAGATGCTGGAAGCAAACCAAAACAGAATGCATACCTTCACTTATAACTGTTTTCCCCCAACAGTCTGTATTGACAGGAATCTCTAAATGCCCCYGCACAGCTAAACTCAGTTTAATGAAGCAGTCTTCTAATCCTCAGTTGCAACACTAGGTGGCAGGGAAACATCTAATTCACCTACAACACTAAGAACCTYGAATGCAGAGTCTCAGTTCGCAGTAGGTAAGGGTTAGTGCAATGCAGCAATCTYGGTTTCACATAACTGGCTGTGCTTTGTGTCCTTACGTAGCTTTGGGCAACATTTTTCAAATATAATGCAGTGTTTGTAGACCCACAGGTTAGTGATGTCAGAATAAATTGCCCTCTCATTTAAGAAACCATGGACAAATGCAAAATGTTCTTCCTCTCCAAAAACAGAACTTCAATTTTGTATTTGAAATCCTAGTGATCTTCACCTGTGTCAAGACACCATGACATTTACCTCACACCGCTTTTTTTCTAAAAATGTGCTTTATTATTTAAAATTCACATTACTTGTGTGCTACTTGTGAAAAATGCTGCAAAGCRACAATGAAACAAGTTCTGCAATGCATGCAGCTGCAAAGCAGACAAGCCCATGGAAATTATTCTTGAGACCATACTGATCCTCCTGTCAGTACACTCCTTCCCTTCTGCAAATAGGAAAAACTTCAGACTTGTAACATTTTGCTCAAGATCCTCCTCCAACTGTAACAGAAATAAAAGATCTTTTCTGATGAATACCAACTCCGAGGTTCAAAAAAATGTGCATGTACAACACATTAAAGGACACCACCTCTGCACTGCAGCACAACTTGCTGCTTTCCAAATTACAGACAGTTCCTAGGATGTAGCTGGCAGTAGGAGTGAAARTCTGGCATTTAACTCCTGCTTTGTTCACAAAATTTAAAGAAAAATGCAATTATTGGCATAGGTGGTAACACTCTCCCTTTAGAAGGGCAAAATCAGCACACAACAATTATTCCTCTCATTCAGCTTTGTACCAGTTTCTCAGCTTTATAAAGAGATGCTGATGCCTTCCACTACATCTTTTAAAAATCTGCAGGAAAAAACCCAAGGACAGCACACTGCTTTTTAAGCAGTGACACACAAGAAGGAAGGTCAAGTAATTAAGCCACAGACTAAAGTCATACATAAGGTAGTTGCTGAAAGTGATCTTGGCACACAAACAAATCACAGGAAGTGACTGAACTGGATTTTGATTTTCATGTTTGATWACGGGAAAATTTGTTTCAGTTCTGAAAAATAATTTAATACAAACTTTAAAAAACACTGATGTGCAAGTCTTCACTGTATAAAAGGAGGTACATTTTCACACTTAAAAATAGTTTAGAAGATTTGTACATAATGAACAGAAATTCTCTTTTATATAAACAAAGCGTTTCTTTGCCAACAGCAATTGTCAACTCCAAAACACAGAATTAAGATGACACAAGAACCAGACAGTCTAAGTCACTGCTATTTGTGTCAAAAAAAATTATGCCACTCTTTTTTACAGCTCGTCATGCTTGTACGTAAATTCCCTTGCAGATATAAACCCGTCACTGTCTTCATCTTCCTTATCAAATATGTCTTCAACCAAAGCATCATGCTGGGTGTCATTTACCACTGCTCCATGCTTTTCAAATTCTTTCTTCAAGTAAATTTTCACCTATTAGACAAAAGATAAATGTTTTCAGACTTATGGAAGAATTGATTACATAACAGAAGGATGATATGTCCAGAATGGTGGTATTAGATAATAAATATCTTCTCTCCTTTGCCACAGCCAGAATAATACTTGTCTACCTGATTCTGCAGTCCCTTTGAGTGCAGTTCTTAGTGACAGAACTGACAGTAAAACCATAGCAAAGCTTCTGYCATACCTTTATGGCATCTGACTGAAAAAATGAGCCAGGAGAGCCTGCCATCTGAAGTCTATAAAGTAGAAATAGCTGGGCAGAAGGTGTTGGCTACCAATGGGTTAGAGACTCATGGCTCTCCACGTCCCAGCACCTTTACAATACAGTACATGTAAACAGTCACCCCAAATATACGCAGAAATCTGTCCACAAGCCCAGTTTTCACTGCTCCAATGGGAAATAYATTAAAACATTTATAAACATTTCAAAATTTTGAAGGACAAGGACCCAAGGCAGGTTTTCAACAGACCACTGGAACACTTACTTACTTTAAGCTAGACATTAATGGTAAGCAGCATTTGGAACAACATCAGATTATTTTCACTATGTTTTTAAGATTTAACTGTTGAGATCACAAGTGTTCTGAATTGCAGAGCCTTCTACAAAAATAATACTAACATACWCATCTATTAAACAGATACCACTTGTATAATGAACCATGGGTTATCTTTCAGGTCTGTTTTATTCACTTCACTTCACTCTCTGGGATTTGTTGGGGTTATTGCTTACATTTCTAATATATAGACATTACACATTGTCTGATGCATAGTACAAATGATTAATTAGCCTTCTGGGTCTAGTAAACTATACCAGACCTAATTAAAAAAATAACTAAGTGGTTTATACTACCTTCTCATGGATCACTTTCGCACACTGGAAAAACAGAAGATTGAAAATAAGAGGCAACAGACAGTGAATAATGCTGAATACATGYCCTTCACAGAGTGAATGCTGTGAAACAGGATTGTCCTTCAGCAGAAAAAATTCCAGTTTATTAATAAATCTGCAATTAAATCCAAAAAGCCCTGAAGTCTGGTTTTACTTCTAAGATGCTTTACTTATCTTCCATAAGTGTGTGCCTATTCTCAGCTTACCAAGGCTCCTTTTGAACTCCCAGTCCAGAATTTTCACTAAGATACAAGGCTCAGAGCAGTGCAGCATAGATATGGATTCCTTTCCACTCTCCATCCTATTACATTTGCTCAGAAGGGAAGGATAACCCACTCACCTCTTGCTTGGATAGTTTCCAGTCATCATTAAGATCCATCTCTTGGAATGACTCATGAGATCTTGGTCCATTTCTAATTTCTAGAAGGTCAATGTTGAAAATCAGTGTGCTCTCAGGTGGAATTTTTCCTGCCCAACATGGACAAAAGTTAAAACCAACTACATATTCAATGCCACACAAAAGCSTTATGCATTAGAGCAATGTTCTAGTGATCCCAGTCATTTTGAAACATCATGCAGTTTGAACTAGTAAGGATAAGCATTGGTAACAGTCATGACCACAACCATTTCACCCTGTAGCCTGGACTCTGAGCAGCTCTTACCACATATATGCAACTTKAGATGCAACTAGTTTTGTTGGAGTCTAATAGGTATTGATAAGAGCTCTTATTTACCAGTTATTGTCACAAGTTTATCAAACAACATTCTTAATTTTTTTTTTCCTTTCATGAACAGAGCCAAATAAAATGGAAAAAGTAAAGGAGACTGTACAGTCAGGCAACAGTCAAGACTAATGGACAGGGCAGCAAGAAGGGAGAATTTCGACCTGATACACATTACTCCGTCTGTCTCCAAATTCCTCTCCACTGCCAACTGACACCTTGTATCTGCTGTTTTACCACTGGAAATTCTTTTGCAGAGAAAGATAGAAACACAGTGATGATGCCAGTCTCCCAGATAGCAGTCTCTGGATGCAGCACACAAAGCACTGAACTATTTCCAACCACACAGCAGAAACGAAGTACCTAAACCTGATCCCAAGGAATGCCTTGTCATAACATGACTTTTGATGTAGCTGAACAGACTGGCAACTTCCTAATAATGCCACARATCACTCCACTCATGCAACCACACCTCAAGGATTTCAGTTTATCAGGCATTGGCTTTTACAGAGATATGATATGCCCTAATGCTCATGRCTGAACCTACTGTCAAAGACCTTTTAGCACATCACTTCATTCCTCTGTACACAGAGAGGATTAATAGGACCAAATATATCTCTGTATGGACGGCAGCACCCCAAAAATACTTATGTACCTTGAGAAGACAGGGAAAAAATAATCCACATCCACTACTTTGGAGGTATGGTGAAATACACCCTGAGATCAACAGGCAACAAACAGGCTTGCAGATTTCTGGGGAAAATAAACATGCAGAATCTTCTGGAAATACAGGGCACAGTGCCCTGTTCAGAGTTTGGAAGATAGGTAATTTTTTTGAGTGTTACAGAAAAAGGCATCTGACTCAAAYGGTGAGTCAGACAGCAACCAAGGTGGGAGGCCAGTGAAATTATGTGCATTCAGAGGAAAGCATGAAGAAAATGAAATAGTTCTGTCTTCAAGTGCATGATTCGAAAACAGCAACGTAATCATGCTCAAATACTTTAAAATCTTCCTAAAGCAAGTAATTTCTTAGAGCAGTTGGCAATGTTTAGCTGTTTAACCTTGTTGCACTGAACACAGAGGTGAAGCTTGCAAGTCTTTGAAGAACAACTATAGTGCTTTACATATTAATCAAACAATTAGGCCTGTAATGACTCCATGACCACTGCAGCATTTCATGTATTTTTCTGGAAAAATTTAYAGCTGTGCCCTGCATAAAGACAACTAAATGACAACCACAAGGTTCCCATTCTCTACTAGAAACATTATTTCTAATACTGTATCCTGAACYCTAAACCAGAGCTTCTAGAAGAATATCTGTTAAATAGATACATTCAAGAAAGGAAGATATGAAGTGTATTACATCTGTGAACACTACTAGTTTGAGGTAATATGGAGTCCTAAGCCTGTGTGCAGCCCTACTTGCCAGAAGATACAGACATGCAAACAGTCCTCAATCATTCCCAAAATAGTCTCATAGCAATGGGAGAGAACATTAGCAGGATGGATTGTATGTTCCTAGACATTTATCCTTTCTGCTTTGAAACCTGCTTGCACTACCATAGGTCATTTSTTGCTATCTTGTCATGACATAAATRTTCATAGTAATTGCTCAGAAAAAGTTAACCAAAACAAATCCCATAAAGCAGAAAATAGAATCTTCCTGCACCATTCAAACTGTCACTTGCTTAATTGCATATTCCAAATCTGGCCCTCCGATTATAGGAATCTGGASATATTTGAAAGGAAAAGCCCCAAACACTCTCAGTAGCAGACAGGTTGATAAAACCCTAAAACAATGTTTATATCTATAAGTGCATTTTCAGTAGGTGACAACATGACTGCCCATGCACCTGCACATCTTACTGTGGATAACAGGAACTGCTGCCCAATCTGAAAATAGCTGGAAGAAGAAAAGAATTAATGGCCCTATATGGAGAAATAAACAGTGACCTCACTGTAGCATCTAAGAACTGTTTGGGCAGCAGGACAGGGAGTTTCTTAGGGTTCTAAAGGAAACCTGCAAGCAAGAATGAGGCTTGCACATGCACATTCATGAAGTGTTACCACAAAAACAGATCCAACAGTCAAAAAGCCAACTGTTACCTAAGCAACCACCTCCACTTGACTGTAAGAGAAGGGGGAGAGAAAAAAAGCAAACTAAAAAAAAGAAAAAGCAGGCCACTGTTGAGCAAATCACTAAAGAAAAGACACTTTGAACATCCAGGACAGCAGCTACCATTTTCTGGGGTTTTTTTTTTCCTGCATTCACCACATAGCCACTTAATGGATATTACTGCAGAAAACAAATTTATGAGAAAGACCACCTGAGTCCCTCTATTTTTCTTCTTTAACAGAATGAACCTGGAAAGATTGAAAGCTTGCTAACCTCTTAGGCAAAGAATAACAGTAAAATACAGAGATTAGAAACAATTAGAGTAAGGGAAGGGTTTTACCTTTCCCTTCTTTTCCATAAGCAAGGGCTGGTGGAATAGTTAGCTTCCGCTTCTCTCCCACACACATGTCCTTCAAACCTCTGTCCCAGCCTTTGATAGCTTCCCTTATGCCAAGTGTAAACCACATAGGTTGACCATTGTTATGCTTGTGACTGGAAAAGAAAGGAATAAAACACTTCTTATTTAAACATCGAGTTCCATAAAAGACAGATGGAATATGCTCATGACATAGATATATAGTTAAAAACACATCACCACTCGGCACCTTGACATTCCTAAAATGAAAGACCTACCCTTTTGAAATCTTTAAAACTTRTGCTTTGCATGACAAGGTTCCTTGAGAAGTGGAAAGAAATAAAACAACATTTACCTGGTGTGTTTATGGCAAGGGAAACTGAWCAGACTAGGAAGGCATTTTTCTTAAAAATCTTCAGTCAAAGCTGTTCACAGACTTTGTAAATTGCAAATCACAAACCAGCATGGTCATGGTGCAATATACATTCTAACATGCTTAGAAGAATCAGCCACATCTCTGGCAAAAGAAGCCATTAGGGAAAACAAAAACAAACCCCAAACAGCTACATAACAGATAGTCTAGAAAAAAAATAAATGCATGCAAAATATTCAAATTTAAATTAGGGAAACAAGGCCCTTTTGTGATTTAACCAGCTGGTACAACCTGGACTACTTTCACTCTACTGACAGACAAGGAATTTAAAAGCTCTATTTACTAGCCATGCAGGAAAGGTGTTTAATAAGAAAACACAGCACTTACAGAAGTTAGTCAGCAGCAAAACTTAAGAGTGTCACTAGAAGTCCTTTTAGAGAGGCAGGTTAACTACAAGAAAAAATTAGTGAGATTTTAGGTGAATCATCTGCAAAAACATAAACATGCAAAATTGTCTTTTTTTTTACTTAATACACAAAAGCAGCCTTCAGGCACAGCCTGCAGAGACTTGAGCATTTTGCTGTCTCCCRCTATTAACACTTCGTTGATGTTTTACAGGACATCCAGCATTAGCAARTCGTTRCAGGCTCTTAGCAGACTCCCTCGAATTTTTGGCTCTTCTTCCTATTTGCATTTCTGTGGCTCTGGTATGTTGACTTGTCTGGTYGGGGGCAGGTAAAGAATACTCCGATTCAAGAAAAGCTGCTGCAACTGAGCTGCTGGTAGTGGAAGGAGACATACTACTTTTTTTTTTAACTAATAGTTTGCTTTAGAAACCAGACAGAAATTCATACATAGCACAAGACCTATTAAACCACTGAGATAATATACCATAATCTGCACCTAAATCACAGAATCATAGAATGGTTTGGATTGGAAGGATCACCCCATTCCAACCCCCGTGCCACAGGTAGGGACACCTTCRASGAGACCAGGTTCTCAGAGCCCCATCCAACCTGGCCATGAACACCTCCAGGAATGGGGCATCCMCAAATTCTCCGGGAAATCTGTTCCAGTGTCTTACCACCCCCACAGTACTTTCTAATAACCTAATCTAAACCTGCGCCCTTTAAGTTTGAAGCCATTCCCCCTTCTTCTGTCACTACACRCCCTTGCAAAAAGTCTCTYTATGTCTTTCTTCAGGTAGTGYAAAGCCACAATTAGAGCACCTCAAAGCCTTCTCTTTTCCAGGCTGAACAATCCCARTTCTCTCAGCCTTTCCTCATAGGAGAGGTGCTCCACRCATAACATCCCCATCTTTTAAAAAATGTCACATGGCTCTACTTTCTACAGATTGACCAGAAAACAAACGCTAAGTAAGATTTATTTTGAAACTTTGGAAAAGAAAATAAGCCTTACTGTGCTATATTGGCGTGCTATATTGAATAGCATTGTGAGACAGAGCTTCACATCAAACTTTCTGACAACAGGCGGCAGTGGGAGGGACTCCARTGACAAGTTGAGGCAGTGTTACTTAAGCTCTTTTATCCAAAAAACAAACCAGACATTCATGAATTGCTTTTGTTTCCTTGCACACAAGTAAACAAAGTTTTGGGAGGGAGAAGTAACGAATATAATAGAGTAGAGTAGAGTAGAGTAGAGTAGAGTAGAGTAGAGTAGAGTAGAGTAGAGTAGAGTAGAGTAGATCACTTGCCCCTGACAAAACTTCTCTCACAGAGCAACTTCACAGGCGGACTGGAGACCTCTGAGAGGTCTGGATTCATGAAAGCACAACCAGAAGAGATTATCTACATTAAAACAAACAAATAAATAAATGAGCAAGTTCAGAGAAGGTGCACCAAGATGGTATGAGGGATGGAGCAGCACCTCTTCCATGAGGAAAGGCTGAGAGAATTGGGATTGCTCAGCCTGGTAAAGAGAAAGCTCCGGGGTGAACCTAATTTGCCTTTCCAATACCTGAAGGGGGCCTGCAGGAAAAATGGAGAGAAACTATTTAAAAGGGCATATAGTGACAAGACAAAGGGTGATGGCTTTAAACCGAGAGCAGGTTCAGATTAGATATTAGGAAGAAATTCCTTAGTGTGAGGGTGGTAAACCATTGGAACAGGCTACCCAGCGAAGTTGTTGCTAACCCATTCCTGGCGTTCAAGACCAGGCTGGATGGGACTTTGAGCAACCTGGGCAGCATTCAAGGGCGGGTTCGATGGGGGTCTGAGCAACTCGGTCTAGTGAAAGGTTCAAGGAATCTTTACGGTCACTTCCAACTCAAGCCATTCTATGATTCTATATAACTATTCCCACGCAAACTCAGCCAGCAGCTCGCTCGGAGAAGACATGCCGCTCACTTACGTCGAGTGAAACATGGAGCCGTCCCTCTCCAAGTAGCCCTCGTAGTGAACCARCATCATGTCCCCCCACTTGGTCCTTCTGTGGCAGAGAAACGGCTTGTGCAGCACCTCCACCTTCACGTCGGCCGCGGGCGGGATCAGCGCCGCGCCCGCGCAGCGCAGTGCCGCGCACAGCAGGGCGGAGCACAGCAGCAGCACCGCCGCCATCGCCCCCGCCTCGCCTCGCCTCCCCTCACGGTGCCGCCATCCCGCACCCCGAGCCCGGCCGCTCCGTCCGACGTGGCAACGGCGCGCACCGCTGCCAGACCCGGCTCCCAACGGCCCGGCACAGGCGGCGCGCCCGCTGATTGGCTCTCCGCAGGCGAGCTCAGGCGGAGCCGCCGTCCATTGGGGCGTGCTCCTGTCCGTCTCCCAGCTCATCCAATCGGCAGGCCCAGACAGGAAAAGGGGTGGGCGGGCCGGGCGCTCCGGGAAGTCACAACGCCGGCGAGCGGGGGAGCCCCGCGGAGCGCGCGCACAATACAGCCGATCGGCCGCTGATTGGCTGGCGGCGGCCGCGAGGGCGCGTTCCGATTGGTCGCGAGAGGCCACCTGCTCTGAACATTCCGCGCCTGTTCCCCCTTCGCCGCCTCCCTTTTTCCTCTGGTCACGCGGGCCGCGATTCACAGCGCGGGTTGCGCTGACGTAGCGCCTCGGGGCCGTGCCGTGGCTGCGCGGCTGCGGCGCGCCCTGCGCTGGGAGCGTGGCGGCGGCG